GCTTCAGAAGAGATGCAGGTACAGAAGGAGACAACAGGAAAGTGATAGGCCTTGGCCTAACAGCATGGTCTAAAGGACAAAAATAAAAATATAAAGCAGGTGGGGGCTGTAGCTCAGTGGGAGAGCAAGTGCTTACCATGCATGAGGCCCTGGGTTCAATCCCCAGGACCAAACAGATAAATAAATACAGCAGACAGAGACAGTCACAAGGCAGTCCAGGGGCAACGAAGACAGAAACATACCTAAACAACTCCGTGTCTCTGTGAATGCCAGGTGTGGTGGTGCATGCCTGCGATCCCAGTAGCGTACTTGGGAGGCTGAGGCAGGAGGATTTCCAAGAGTTCAAGGCCAGCCTGAACTATATAGTGAGCCCCTGTCTCAAAAAAAAAAAAATCTCTATCTATATCTGTACAGTCAGATGGGCCAGGGATTTAGCTCTGTGGTTCCGACGCCTGCTGAGCAAGCACAAGGACCTGAGTTCGATCCCCGGTGCCAAAAAAAACAAAAAAAACAAAAAGCAAAAAAAAAAACACAGGTGTACAGTCAGATAATACATATTCACTATAACAACTCTCATTTAAAAGTGTTTCGACAACGTCCATTTGATCCACAGACTGGTTGGTTGAAGAAGTGAGAAAAGTCCCTAATGCATCTGAGAATTGACCACGAATATTTACAAGAAAAAATTAAAGGACTGGGATTTAGCTCAGTGGCGCCCACACCTGCCTCGAAAGCACGAGCTCCTGAGTTCAATCCCTGCTACCAAAAATAAAGAAAAACAAAAAGTCCGAGTGTGTAGACAGACTCCCAGTTATCCAGATCAACTCGGTGAGCAGGTCGCTTTCCAGCCTGCAGGACGAACTGTGCGGCCAAGAAATATCTCCTCCATCTCTGTATCCCTGCCTGCTGCTGCTCCAGGACTTCAGACCCGGGACTAGAAAGAGCAGGAAGAAGGGACGGGCTGGTTATGCTTCTATCTGGGAAACAAAGATTAGCCACCTGCCAGCGTTCCTTTGTTCTTGTTTTCGGCATGGCCATCACAAAACAAAAACAAAAAGATAACTTCTACTTCTGAAGCCCGATTATTTGAAAACAGACCTGAACATTTCCTCCTCTTTCAATAAAACAGAAGATGCTCTTCATTTTACTTATCTGTAACATACTTATTTGTTGATAGGGAACTGGCTCCTATTTCTCTAGGAGCGCGGGAGGGTCTGGCTGAAGAAACTGTTGCCTGAGTTACCCTAGGAACTTCTCTCTGCTTTGACATTTGCCTGAAATCCGAGAGGAAAAAATGGTTTTTTAATTGCCAAGGCTAAACAGAAAAAAACATAATCACAACCATAATTAATGGCCTTTAGGTACCTCACCTCTCTGAGCTCCTATTTGGTTTTGTTTGTCCTCCTTTTATTTTTTTCTGTATTTTTAGGACAGGGTCTCTCAATACCTGGCTTTGAACTTACTGTGAAGCCCAGGCTAGCCTCAAACTCCCAGCGACCCTCCTGCTTCAGCCTCCCCCAGCGCTGGGGTTACAGGTGGGTTCCACCATGCCTGGCTTGTCCCTTTTCTTTCAAATAACCTTATTGGGTGGCTCTTCCAATTACAGAAGTAATAAATGGTCATTGCCATAATTCAGCGTCATGCAGACGTATGAAATAAACATTCACAATCTCTCCCCCTCCCAAACCTCTCACTTTCCGCCCAAGAGATCCAGTATTAGCAGCTTGGTATTTACTGTCTTTGGCTTCTTTCTCAGCTTACTTTTTAAAAATATATACAACTTTGGCTTTTGTCTTCAAATAAAAATTAGATATTATACATGTTATTGAGTATTTCATTTTTTAGTCTTTTTAAATATTAAACTACTTTTTATGTGTGTAGTGCGTATGTTTACACTCCTTGTGGGGAGGTGGTACAGGATACATCTGAATTCCTTTTTTCGTTCCTTTTTCCTTTCCACTTAAAAACATGCCATGGAGACTTTTCAGAGTCAAGATAGACAGACAGACGGACAGACGGATCCACTGGATTCTTTTTAGTGAGTGTAAAGTATCTCGTAACATGATGCCCCACATTCACCCCGTCTCCTTTCTTTCCCAATGCACGGGCATTCGGAACAGGTCTGACCCTTGAACATAGACTTCATATCCTTTCATTTCGGTAACCAATTCATAGAAGGGGGATATCTGGGCCAAATGAGACACTGTGGAATGTTCAAAAGTGTAGACTTAGGACCGGGGATTTAGCTCAGTGGTTTTGCTGCCTGCTGCGCAAGAGCAAGGACCCGAGTTTGATCCCTGGTACCAAAAAAAAAAAAAAAAGTGTATACTTAGCTGGGTGAGATGGCACACTCCTGTAATTCCAACACTCAGGAGGCTGAGGCAGGAGGATTGCTGCACCAATCTGGGCTACAGTGAGTTCAAGGCCAGCCTGCACTACAAAGCAAAACCCTGTCTCAACCTCCCCCCCAAAGAAGTTTATACTTAAACAAAATTAATTTTATTTTTTAAAAAAAATTAATTTTAGACCTTCCGAATTTGTTTCCTTCTTCACTATGCAAACTATTGGCATAAACCTTTCACAGAGCTTTGCATATTTTATTTTAAAAGCACATACATTATGTCAAAAAATGCCCCTGTCATTTACGCCTGTGTTGTTATAAATAAATAAATGCTTAAGTTATCGCTGTGATGGGCCGCGTTAAATCACTGTGGAAATGCTCGCGCCTGGGTTTATGAAAGCCGTAATTCACCATGAAGACTCCACCCCACGGCCCTGTGCCTCCCTCCCACCGAGCGATCTCAGAGATCGGGACCTGTGTCCCTTCTAATCGTCAACTGTGAACCTTAAAACGTGCAGAGCAGGGACGACAAGTGAACAGGTACAGACAACAAATTGATGGCCATTTTGGTTTCTAATATCCACAAATTATTTGTAACACAATGATTAATTGTGCTGGTCCATACCAGAGACTGTTCCATTAAAAAATAAACCCTATGGCCGGGGATGTAGCTCAGTGGCTTTACCATCGGCCTCACAAGTGCAAGGTCTGGAGTTTGATCCCCGGTACCAAAAAAAATTAAATAAATAAATTAAAAATAAAAATAAAACCTATGACCTACATGTTGCTATTTCTACATAAACCTTTCAAAAGGATATTCTTGGAACATTTTTTGATAGAAGCATTGGTTGAATCCCACTTTACATTTTTCTCTACTCCAGGTTCAAGACTTCAATTACGAATTTTTTTAAAAAAAAAAACAGCCTTAAAGAAATGCAGTAGCCAACCCAGCTCCTTCAGGCCTTCCCTCAGACCCTTCCAAGAGTCTGAAGCCCGACCACCAGCCTTGATTGTTAAGACACAGCGAGTTTGATCCCCAAGTAGGTGACGTGTAATTAATCTCCATTCATACCCTGCTCTCCTTGTCAGCAGACAAAGGTTCTGCTTTAGAAGGAGATCTGAAGACTTCAATTAAAAACAGTCGGCTAACAAGAAAATAATCAAAGCTAAAAGAAAGTGGCAGGTGCAGAAATGAGTTGTTTACCAAAGTGTCACTTCTGAACAATAAAGTACTGCACATCAAAAATGCTGAAGGGGTAGATTTCATGGCAATCCTCTGAAAATAAAAAGGAGTTTTCTACCAAGGCTGGACGTGACACTGGAGTATCGTTTAACAGCCTTGTGAAATAGGTTTCCTCTCATCAAATACCAGGGACAAATAAAAAGAGTTGCTTATATCTTTAAATACGAGCGTAGAATTAAACTTTTAGCCACAATCTTTTCTGCTCTAGAAACCAAAAGAATACAGTCTTGCTTCACAAGTCTAAGATTGAACCAGCAGCAGAGAGAAAGGCCAGACTGCTGCTTCTTGGAGACATTCTTTTACCCTGCAAATAGTTTTCTGCTCCTAAAGTTTAGATTTACTTGGGTCACAAGCAAAATGAATTTTGGAAACCTCACCTCCAAAGAAATGTCTAGCTGACAGTACTACAGAGAAGCAACCCAGAATAGAAACAGTGTTACAAACAAAAACCAAGCAGACTTGCCAAATATGTGATTAGAAGCCATTTATACCAAGATAACAAGGTAATAGAGATATAAAACCAATTAAATGGAGAGAAATTTAAAAAAAAAATACAGCTTGCCCAAAGTATGACCTGCCCAAAGCAGGCCATCTGTTAAATATGTGTTAACTATGTCACTTGGAAGTCAAAAGGCTTAATTTGGAACAGCTCCCCCGGACCCTGTGTGACTGTGATTCCAAGCCTGTGTCCTCCCTGGACGGCTGTTGCTTTCTCTGTGTGGGGCCGGCGGAGGATGCCAACCCAGGAAGGGCTGCATGGGTCGGTTGCAGCGGCCTTGACCCCTTAGAGGGTCCCTGGCACCGGGGTTTGAAGGTGAAGCCATCATCGCGAGCCGCTTCTAAAAAGGAGGGAAACTGTATGCGCTGCCCTGGGTCTGATGGTGACACCCCCAGAAGTCAGGCTGCAGGGTGCTAAGGGGCGCCCTGTGTGTCTCTCGCGTGGGCCTCTCACAGCGCCCCAGCAGCCTCGGGACGTCCCCGCAGGGCAGCTGTGGCGCTTCTGGGAGTCGGGAGGAGGTCAGCGCTGGGACCTCGGTGTGGGAGGGCGAGTGAACCCCTACAGACACGGGGGAGTCCTGGGGAGAAAGGACAGGCTGCCGATCAGGGCAGGTTGGCACAGGGACCAAGAACTGGGACTCCGGAGAGTAGGTGCCTAGGTTAAGTGGCGGAGCGGAGACGCCCTGAGGGGCAAGAGTGTGGAACTCAAGGGAGGGCCAGGGACCCCGAGTGGGAGGATGGAAAGCAAGGGGCGCTCCAGACAGACACCTGGATGCCCTGGAAGGAGGCAGGGGCGGCGCCTCAAAGCAAGCCTGGCTTTGGAGGCTTGGGTCTCCCGCCTGCCTCGGGCCAGGCCCGGGGAGGGGGTCCCCACGGGGGGCGAGGCCCGGGCTGGGCCTGGCTGGGCCCGGGCTTTACCTTCCAGGAGCCACCGGATCTCCTCGGGGAGGGCGACGGCCTGCATCTGCGGGCGGGGCGGGCAGCGGGGCGCGGAGCGGGAAGAGGGCGCGGGCGGCAACACCTGCACCTCGGTCGCCGCCGGGCGCAGCGCGGGGCGGGGCGGGGCGAGCTCAGGAAGCAGCGCGCGCAGCGACCAGGCCAGGGGAATGGGGGTGGGGGTGAAGGGCCCGGGGGCGCGGGGGGGGAGGTTGGGGAGCCGGGGGAGGGTATAGTGGTGGGGGGTAGGAGATGTGGGGGCCACGGACGATGGGGTCAGGAGGCCGAGGGCCCGGGGGACCTGGGGGACTAGGGTCCCATGGGCAAGAAGAACGAGGGCTGGAGGGCTGGGGGCCAGGAGGTGGGGAGCTAGGGGCTTGGGTGGTCTGGGGGATGGGCTGGGGCAGGGACGCCCCACAGAAGTGCAAGCAGCGCTCAGACAACGCAAGGCCAGGAGGGAGGAGGGGTTTCCTCCAGGCCCCCCACCCAAATAAAAGACCTCCCACGACTCAGGTAGCCACGGTTCTCAGGGACTCTGAGGCTCTGAGCAGATGACCTCGAAGTGGCCGTGCAGTGCCGAAATGGGGCACGGAGAGCCAATGGCAAAGGAAGCCTAGCGCCCCTTGGTTGACAACCAGTTCCTGCGTCCATGCCCAGAAAAGAGGACAGGGCGTTCACTGTCTCAGGAAAGCCACCATGGCTGAAGGGAATGATTGGAAGTCCTAACGATGTAAAGCCACCAGTATTTGAGCACTTCGCCAAAGTGGCCTTTCCTCCCTGAGCCTGGGGAAAGGAAGGGGCTCCCTGGAGAGGCAGCTGGGGAGAGGGGACAGGGCCCTTTTCCTCTGAGAACTGAGGGAAGGAGGACGTGAAGGACAAGGTCATGGACGTCACACACACACACACACTCCCCCCCGCCCCATTCATAGTAGTCAGTGCCCTGGTTGGGACAGGCACCAAAAATGTCACCACTGGGGAAAAATGTAAACGTTCACCCTCTATTTCGATCACACCTCATAAAATAGACCAACTGCTGTGAGAGACAGAGTGGCATGGGTAATTGAAGAAGGGAAATGAATACAAGGAAAAGACGGAGGCACCAGCAGGTGTATGCGTGCTTAAAGGTGCGTGTGGTCTTCGCAATGACCCTGGAAAACCACACCAGGCTGTGAAGGGGTAGGAGGACTCCCCAGGTGGAAAGGCCAGATAAACAAAGGGAACACGGAGTAGCCATCTTTTACTAAAAGCTGTCGGGAAACTGTAGCTATCAAAAGAAATCAAAGCTCTATTATGAAAGGTCTTGGGAGTCAGAATGAGAGACTCCTTGGGAACCATTGACAATTCTTGAGCTGGAGAGTGACCCCACCCGGACTCCTGTACAGCATGTGGCCACACACATTTCTCTTCACCCTTACCATTTTCCTCCTGAAGGCGGGGGGGCATTCTATTCTCCAACTTGACCCGCAGAATATGTAAGAAGGACTGGAAGTGGTAAGAGAGGATGCAGGAGGGAGTAAGTGGTTTCTATGGCAACCTCAGCTGAAACAGGGATGGGTTGGGTCTGGAAGGCGGTTCAGGGGCAGAAGGAAGAAACTGTCTGAAAGGACTCACGGCAGGAGCGCCTGCATCCAGAACAGTTTTCCCTCCAGAGACAGAACCTTAAGGCTGAGGGTGCAAGGGGCCTTCCTGGCATCCCGCCATCCAAGAAGGAAGGGTGACTTGGTTTCATGGTCTCACTCTGTGGCCCAGGCTGGCCTCAAACTCAAAGTGATCCTCCTGCCTCAGCCTCCCAAATGCTGGGATCACAGGCATGTGCCACCACCCCCGGCTACCCTGGGGCATTTTTACCAACCTCATTGCTCCCCTTAGAAAGTTGCAGCTGCTCTGAGGTCATGTTGGGTTACATAGGACAGGTGCTGAAAAGTGAATGAGAAGCTGGCGTGGTCACACATGCTCATCTAGGCCAGGAGCTAAGGAGCTGTATGATCGAGGCCTGGCTGCCTGTCACACCTGACTCACACCGAGAGACACGGCAGTCACTTGTGGGAGAGGGTGTTCTCCATCTGCGGTCCCCCAAAGGATATCTAGTTTTAGCAGGCAGAGGGTGGCAACCGGGGGAGCGGGGGAGTGAGATGGCGACTGGCAGATTCCAGCAAGTAAAAGTCAGGCGCATCAGGCTGCTTGCCCCCCTTAATCACCCGAGGACCCCAGTTCAGCAGTCCACCCACTCTTAATGACATTCTGTTAAATGGACAAATTCCTTTGAAGCCTTGTCCTTCTTTAAAATCCAATTTCCGTAGGAAGCCCAATCTGATTGGGGTAGCCATGGAAACCACACAGAGGAGTCTTGCAGGAGGTGGAGAGATGCCAGACACCCCCGCCCCAAAATGTGATCATCAAGAGTCCTTACTGCTCTGTCGGAAGTATCACAGCAATCCGGAGAGGCTGGCAGCTGAGGAGTCCCTGTCCCGTCCTGTTCCATGTGGCTGGGTACCATGCGGCCATGGTGGAAGAGAGCAGCCAGCTGTCTCCACGAGAGGGTGGGGATAGAGCAGGACACGGGTCCCAGGTCATCTGCTCCCCTCTGCACCCCTAACCCTGCTCCAGCGAGAGCTTAGCAACCCTTCGCAGGGAACAACCAAAGAATGGCAAGGATGAGATACAGGGCCCTGACAGATAAGGGCGCCTGCGGAGCAGAGGCCATGAAATTAATCTACATTCTTTGTAATTCGGTGAGATAAGGGTAGCTAAAGAGAGGCCCAGCAGCAGAGAAAGGAGTTCGGGGCACAGTGCTCAGGAAATACCCCACCTGGCCAGGGAGCCTCACACACTGTCAGCAGAGGGGAGATGCCAGAGGGAGCCCATGCTGGCCCCCAGGTTTTGTGCAGATGCTGGGTTATGGTCCCAGGCAGGCCCTCGCCAACTGTGCATCCCTGGGGCGTCCGAAGGGCTCCATCCGGAAGCTACAGGAGCAGCTGGCACTCAGAACGGCATGGGCTGGGCGAGGCTGCAAGCAGAGCAGGAGCTGGCTGGCAAGGCTCCACCTCGGCTCTGAGGCTTCATCCCCAGCTGCTTATCGATCCCTGGGCACCAGGTTGCGACATGTGGCAGAGCTGACGTCTGTCCTGTGGACGTGCGGCCTCTGCGTCTGAGCCTCTTGGTCCCAACCCCATCAGCCAGATTTATTGACTCTTTCATTGACAATGCTGGGCCTAATGAGGACAACAGCTACACACTTCATTAAGGGACGTGCAAGGAGAGATGAGGAACAGGGCTCCTGTGCACTTTGGGAGACCCCAGAAACTAAGCTTCGGGTCGCCCTTCCTGTTCCCTGGCAGGCTGCCACCAAAGGGGAGGAGCCAGAGATGAGATGCCAATTGGGCTGTGTTGCTTCAGTGGCTTTAAAATACAAAGTTTTAGCCTGGTGTGATGCTGCACACTTGTCATCCCAGCACTGGGAAAGCTGAGGCAGGAGGATCCCCATGCGTTCCAGGCCAGCCTGGGCTACATAGTCCCCAACCATGACTTTGTAGTGTTTGAATCCAGGTGCTGGCCCAAAGCTCTGGCAGAATGGAACATGCCTGAGAGAGGCAGTTACGTCCCAGGGATGGCTGGGCAGCAGAGGGAGGGCCAGGCTGGATGACATAGAGAGACCACCATCTACACAGCAACCTTCCGTCTTTGTCCTTATTGGCCCTTGATTATTCCCCCCCCCCGTGTCCTCTTTACCTGTCCCCAACACCACATTAGATAGCTCCCTTGCGCCCTGCCCAGCCCCACCGAGGCCCCAAAGACCAAAGAGTTTGCTGACTCTGATGTTTTCTGTCACTGATTGGTGCTCTGGGGACCGGAAGGCTTGGGATGTGTCAGCTGCTGCCAGCTGAGCCGTGCCCGGGTCCCCGGGTCTCATCTACATGCGAGGCAGAGGGGGTCCAGGCCAGTTCTGTAGGCTGGGCACTGGTGGGCAGGAGGACTTTGGGAAACTGAATGAAGACATCACTGTTTGGGGGTGTCCGGGGTGGGGCAAGGAGATTGAAAGCAACTAATAAAGGAAAGGAGCAATTTTCTAGATTGGGTTTCTTTGCTTTTCATTCTTTATCTGTTGGAATGAATGGAAGAAAGAATTGAAGCTCCTTCAACCCTTTCCTTTCTTTCCTGATCCTGGCCTCTGCCCTCACTGGCCAGGCTTCTCTCTCCTAGTCTCTTTTCTACTCTGTCTTCCTCCCACGGAGAACATGTTTGGTCTCCTCTGTCCTTGCAAACAGAAGGAAAAAAATTTACCTCTGTCTTACAACCTTCTCCAACTCCTGCTTTCTTCTCCTCCCGGCCGCTTCCTCCATCCGACCCCACATCCTGACGTGACCTCCAGGGACATCATCTTCCCCTACCAGCCTCCGCTCTGCAGCTCCGAACGGCCCTGGCTGCCTGCTCCTGCTGTAAGTGCCCAGCTTTCTCAGCTCTGCCCTATCCTGGTCTTGTTCCCCCCTTACCACCCCTTTTTTGAGACAAGGTCTCTCTATGTCATCCAGTCTGGCCTTAAACTCACTATGTGGCCTCAAATTAAGGGTGATCCCCCTGCCTCAGCATCCGAGTGCTGGGATCACAGGTGTGCACCACCATTCCCGCCTTGCTTCTCCTTCCTGGTATTTCTCTGCCTGTTTTTTGGCTCTCTTCTGTCATCTTCTACTCACAGGTATTCAGGAGTTTTCCACTTGACTTTCTCCCCTCCATCTGACGTCATTTCTCTCCTTGTTCCTGAGTCCCAGGGGTTTTCTCCTCCCAGGAACCCTTTCTATGGATTTCCTTTCTACTTCATACTTCTGCCCCACGCTCCAGCTGGACAGCTGAGCATTTCCGCCAGTTTGTTGTCTTCACTCCTCTTAATTCTTTTTAACGGCAGCAGAGCTCAGTAGATGGAGCCTGGGCTATGGAGCAGGAAGCCTCAAATCCCAATCCGGGTGCTGCCACCCACCCAGTCCCAGAGGGGGCAGAGCCCTGGAGAGTCAGCATCTTCCTGTGCTCCTTGGAGCTTGGAAGCCCTACCTCGAAGGCTCCTCATGAGGCTTACATCAAGGGATGAGTGTGTATAGTGCATGGTAGAGCTGCTCCACAA